TGTGAGGGCAGCGTTGTTGTTGTTATTGTTGTATGGTTCGCTTACCCTGGCTTCAACCTGACTCAGCCGACCGAAACCACCGTGACATTAGTCATAACTCAGGGGCGCAGACCGGAAATGGAACAGCTCATTTTATCCACTGACTGCGAACATTTCCGAACCACACAACAACAACAACAACATTGCCCTCACATTTCCAAACCACACATCACAAGATCAGAATCAACCAATCATATTCATCACACCTGACCATTACACTAATTTGATAATTTTCAACCCTGTATATAACTATATTAGCCCGAAGAAGGAGTTATCGAAAACGAGCTTTGTTCGCCACAGTGTTTTGTCAATTAGTTTTCTAGTTGGCAATTTCAATCTTTCTCTCATGTGTGGGTTTCACATTTGCCTGAGCGATCCGCAGGTCCTCTTGTGACCTTTTGCAATGAACATTTCGCACATGGCGTCTAACACTCACTCGTGGCTGTAGAAAACTGTTTAAGTTTTATAGGTTGACCAATGTATGCTCACTCGAATTCTAACACCGCCTCAAAACTTACGGTTACGCGTGAGGTTCCAAAACATCATTATTCTACTGAAAAGTTTATTTTTTCCGGAAAATATACAAAGAACAGGAGTAAACGGTACTTTGTCGAAATCGGCGATCCATAATACGAATATTCTTTGTAATACTTTGTCTTTACCGCATATGATTACCTACTTTTATTATCAGTCAAATCCATTGAATACGCTGATGACGCGATATCGTATCATAATGTTTGTAGCCTGTCCTATATGATTCTGTTTCTGGTCAATAATCACAAGTCAAAATACGTTTTGATCTATCTGATGTTTGTTGATCCCAAATCTCTTGCATACATTTTCAGTCTTTCGCGATAGATTCATCCGTTAGAATTCTCCGATACCCGAAAATCCGTCGAAATTCCACTGCTAGAATCTGTCGTAGACACCAATCCTTTGTGATCTTCTCATGCACCGATCAAAGTCAACTGTCTTCTCACGATTTATTGTTTTATCTCCCAACCCATTTTTCCAATAGTGCCTTACATTCGTCTGTGATTTCCATCAACTTTCTGGAAAGTGATTTCATTGCCGTTGTGATCAAATATGTTTGTTTCTGTCATGTATCAGTTGCAGCAGCTTCTTCTAGTGGAGCATTGGACTTCAGGAGATTCCACTACCGGCATGGAGTTCTCACAGACAAATTGTACTCGAGAAGAGCTACTGGTTTATTCATCTGCCACACTACGGTGCCTCACAAATCCCAAACTCACTCCTTGCCCGGTGGTGCGTAAAACAGCTCTGGATATTTTCGGCTGTGTTGATCCAATGAACCAATGGGACAACTCCTGTTTAATCCGAACCGGTCTGGAACGCGAATCAAACGACAGCTACGCTCGTCTTTTTGTAGACCAGTGGATGAGGAAATGCAGTGACCTATTTTCTCATAACTCAGGGAATGAGCAAACCGTGACCGTCCAACCGATCATGGTGTTCGTGACTCAGTTGGATCAACCACAAGTACGGGTCATTCGTCCGTGTCCTGATTGCACTTTATCCTCGGGCTCTAATTATTGTTCTGGTATTATTATTATTGTGTTACTAGTGTCCTATCATGGTGAATCTTTTATCACACTAAGACGCACTCACCGCCTCACTTGATGCGAGAGAACCAAACACGGATTTCTTTTGTATGAGCTAATTACTCAACTAGGAAGTTGCACCAGGCTTTTTCATTTAATACTGCCCTTGAATATCACCTAACGTTTATGAATCAATTTCCGTTGTAGTTTTAAATTTGTTCATCTTATGAGGTAAACATTATTCTATTTCATTTATTTAGGTTACGTGCTCAGTGCTTGGATGAACCTATTTCTGTTTTCATAAACGCCGGGCACGTGTATAATTTCGGTGTAGCGATTCTGGGTTTCACTCTTTGGGTGTTCATTCCTTCCGCACATGCGCAATGCATTCAACTGCTCGGGATACAAAANAAACGCGCACCTTGCTTAAAAAGACGACCAGCTATTCAGTGCTCCTTATCCGCCATCACACAATTATTCTATCGCATTTGAATACATGTTAAGTCGTTCGCTGGATACTCCTAGGTGTCAATGAAGAGGCATTACATGATCTTCAGTTTTTTGCCCTGGGCTCGTGTATGTGCAGAAGACGGTAACTANTTATCTTCTCAGAACCCATCAACAAAACTTGTCTACATCCAACCCTGGTGCAAGCTTCGAAACACTTTCGTGGAAGGTTTGTTTTACCTCTACCAACCAACGCACACCCAAGCTAACCGGAATCACCAGTTACGTTTGTTCAGATATTGTCTTCAACAACAATCTGCCGTGTTCATCCACCCGTTCCAAAAGTAAACGCGGTATTCGTTCTTCGTGTTATTTACTCACTCTAGCACTCAACGTTTTCCGTGGACCACAGGCCGTGATCATGAGCGTTACGCTAATGTATTTATTTCAATGGACGGACACTAGATAAAAAAAATATTCCAAAAGTTTCTGTATGGTTCTTATTATCTCACCACGTTTTTTTCCAGTGTCTGTCACCCTCTCTAGTTGTATAAGTGCCGCGATATCCGAGCGTTCTATGACATTCATTGCTCGTTCGTTCTTCCTAAAGAAACTAAATCTTTTGAAAAACTCATTTACTGTTCCCAGATGCGTATCAGCTTCATGCGTAACATTTTGTCCTCATTGACCTCTGATTCCGTGGATGGATCATCGGAACCTCGCATCGAATGCTCACTGGACCGTACTAGCCGAGATCCTCATCTCATGCGATTTCTGATCGCCCATATCGGCATCCCCGAATTAATCCGTGTGATTCGCACCTCGACCGGGGACAATTTCGGCTCGTACGAACTCCGTTACGCTTGCTTCATCCTCCTTCAATTGACCGAATTCGCACACTTGGATCCATCAGTTTGGTGTGCCGTACTTGAACGTGCAGAATTGTTCACTTCTGACCTTAAGCAATTTTCAACATTTCAAGCCATCACGTCATTATCTCCGATGCTTCTATTGCTTGCTCGCTTAGTCGACCTGAAAGCAAACGCGTCTGATATCCCTCGGTATTTTGGCATACTGACGGAAGCCGTGCGCCTGTGCACAGTGAATAATACCCTTGATACAACTGAGTTGTCCATCTCGGTGCTGCGTGTTCTCGGTCAGCTGCCCACAGAATTGATTCAAATGTTGTGTGAAAGTACGTCACTCGTTCTTTTTGGTTACTCTGAATAATGAATGAATAATCAAATGCAATAATGTGTTTTTTGTTTTCAACGTAGATAAATCTACAGCCAGTTTTAGGGAACGCGATATTCGGTCTAATAAAATTTGTCTGGGAACCCATAGAAGCGAATATTTTGAGGATAATAGGGCGAATCTAATTCCCGATCTCCGATAGACTGTGATACTAATCACCACCGACCAGACGTTTTTAATACAAGTTCTTTTTACTCTACAAAAGTTTTAATCTTTTTGTTAAATCTTTTCATGACCAGTTGCTAGCATCAACCTTCTAAACTCGCGTTTTGTATTTGCTCGTTCTCTTCATCTACAATATGTTATTAACTGATTACATGAAACACACTTAGTCTACAAAAGAAAAAAAGGTTGTTAACTGCTCAGGTTCATTTTATCCTTCTTCTCTGTTTTGATTCATTCGTACCATACATAGTTCGCCTGGTTTTTGTGAATGTGTTCATCAACTGTTTTCCTCAACTTTCACAGCTACGCCGGCGCCCTTGGTTTTCCTTTTCGAATGTTTACTCAACTATGGACAGTATCAGTTACAAGATGTGGCATGCGCTACGTGTCAACTTTTACTGACGGACTTCAATGGGTCTGAAATCGGTGAGGCAATGGAGATATCTGGTAGATCGTCCTCGGTCACATGCTGACTTTGTGACATTTTACTCCACAACTGATTTGCTATTTTGATGTCGTTCACCAGTATCACCAGATATTGTCCTCGTAACTGTGGTTGCTCCTCCCCCCCCCCCTCCCGTTAGCATTCATCCTCGTTGCGCTAACGTGCCCCGTCGTGTCACTAGCAAATGTTCTTTTAATGTCGAAGTTTAACCTAAAGCGTGTGTAAACAACTGACTATGAGCAGATCACTTCGTTAGGTGATCGTACATCATCATCGACTTATTTGCGGGAAGTTGTTTACTTTAGTTTGTTTAGTGGGTTATACTGTTATATGTTGCCTTTTGAATACGGAAAACTCGTGATAGTTCACCGACAACCTTCACGTTTGCTGAGGTACATTGCGTACTCTTTTAAACCCCCTAGCGAATGTTGTACCTCGCTTAGTTCTCCCGGATTCTTCGTGTGACGTGATTCCACGTTGACATGTTGAAAATACACAAAACACCGGAGTGAAATAGAGAGCAGAATCGTTTAAAAAGGATGAACAGTCACATTTTGTTACGATTGATAAATGATGTGTGTATCCGGGAGTAAACTAATGTGAAAAGTATTGGTTGACACCGTGTGATTTACACTTCAAAAGCGCCTCATGGTTTTATAGTTTTATTTATCATTGTTCCTTATTCTGGGCTTAAATTAGCCTCCTACTGAGTACTGTTCGGGCATCTCCCGTGAATGCTTTTTCTTTGGGACTTACTGTACCCACGTTGCTTGTTTTCATTTGTTCACTGATACTAAAACGGATTACTCAGTCTTGTCTACTCCTTGTCGTTCTCACCGTTTCGTTCTCTAGAGAGAACGCATTCGTTCTTCTCATATTTATCCGTTAATTCGAAATTACATGTTTTGGTTAACACCAACGAGACAGAATAAACGCATTAATCATCTCTAAGCTCTCCTTCATCGTCCTTAATAGAATGGTAATTCTTTCGGGTCTCTTGGGATTCATCAACTTTTATGCCCCCATGTTTTGAGTCGGACCATTTGTATGATTTCGGTTGCTTTCTTTCAGTATTGCACCATTTGTTACATACGTTCCCTCCGTTTAACTCAAAACGTCACGTTATTTCATGTATTAGCATCTCTTTACTGTCGTATGTCTTCATACGAGTACAGTTGCATATTTGTTAGAGTTTTGTCGTAAGCGTGACAACAGTGGATAATACTCTTTAAATCCCACCCGTGTTTTCACATTCCTATCAGGTATTCCACTGCCGTATGTGGTCTTTTCACGCGTACTGCAATGGTTGGGGACTCACGGGGGCCTCAAGCCCCCACAATTAGTCCGTTCAATAGTCATTCCGTTGCTTCAGCGTATTTCTCTTCCGGTTGACGAACAGGTTTGTCGATATTTTCGATATTCGTAGAATTCATCTTTTTTATTAGGTTCAGAAAGATATTCGGGTATTTGCTCACGGTTCAGAGGATCGTATTTTCGATTTCCTACACACGATGGAAATGATTGTCACCGCACTCGGTGTGTCTTCCTCGGAAGTCCAAAGGAAGGCATCACCGAAAATGTGGATAGATTTTAAATTACAACTGGATAAGTGCTGGTTGGATCGACTTGTGCACGACCTAACTGATGACATGCTCTTGAATAAAACGGTTCAGATTCGATGTGAATTGAGTCGTCGATCCATGGAATTCCTGACAAGAAACTGGCCCATTTCCGTTGGTAAATGAATGCTAGCGGGAACGAAGTGAGTTTCTTTTCTCCCCTAGGCAAATTCTGTCAATGTCATCGGTTCGGATCGATTGTCAGTTGCTATTCGCAGCAGTTTCCTTTTTGACTCTGAAGTGTCCAATGATTGTTATACCGTACGAGAGGTCATGGTGAAATAAGCTACTTCGTGCCCTACACCGAAAAATTTTGTTTTCACGATTGAACTACGTTTCGATTTATAAATTATTTTTTTGTGTGCTTTTATACGATTTTATTTAAGCATTTTCCCGTTCTCTGCATGGAACTCTGTGACGCTTGTCACCGCAACTGCAAGCCTCTGCGCTAATTCATCCGAATTTGATACAATCCTTATACATTTATAATTTGATTTTAAATGTGGATGCTTTCCTCAACAATTTCAATCACGTGTGAATAAACATCCCATCCAGTTCCATCTGTTTTGTTCCCGTCTTCTCGAGTTCATTAAATAGTCGGGTCTTAAAAAGCTGATGTTTGCTATTCAATCATGGGTATACTTGACTAGAGCGAACCGCATGAAATCTCAGTCTTGCTCAAAGGCAAACGATTTCTATCGGTGGACTACCATCTCTTAGGCTCTATACCTGCTGACATGTTTTTCCATTCCTGTTTTCTGCCCTTTTTTCACAAACTTGCCATTTTGATGTTCTCCTTTTATCTTTTATCAGTGCACAGAAACATGAAATGTTGATTACCGTTCTCCTCTGTTGCAGAAAATCACCGGAAATGTACTCCGCCAGTACTGTGTCGCTGTTTGGAATAAAGTATACTGTATATAATCAATCCTATGATGTTTCTTTCTTTCTAATTGGTTCTGTAACACGTGCACACTTGTGTGACTGGTGTTTGCTGACGTTTTAGGATGTTTAAGACGATCTGCATAGTGTTCTTGATTTAGGCGAAAGCAGCTTTGGCAGTGTCCGAAAACAATCGTTTCCCCTTCCTTCCCCGCAAAAAGCTAGCAAATGAACTCCGACGACAGGATTTTCTTTAGCGTGTTAATCGTCGCAATGGCTTGGGGTAGGCGAGAACGGCATACACTCCGTGCCTGATGCTAAAATAGCTTAACCAAATAAACCGAAGTTAAAATATCAAAATTTGCATTTATTAGAAGTCAACAGGGACACTATGTTTATTGAGGCACTCAGGCGTTGCCAAAGTTGTTCTTCAGAAAAGGATAGTCCAAATTATCGTCGAGGTGCTCATAGACATTGGCTTAACCACGGGACCTCGTACATGAACCTTTGAAAGGCTTAATTTGTGTTGTTGAGCTAGGGGCATGTAAAGAAACTGAAACAGACCGAAGGGTGTGTAGTATCCAAAATGGGAATCGAAATAGAATAGCGCGAACTCGGAATCGGACTGAATCGAGCAAAGTCAGGTGGCATTAAGACAAGTTGTGAATACAGTTCTATTCAGATAATCATGGAAATATATATCACAAGCAACAAACAACCATTGGTTGATTCTTCAATGTTCAATCAATAACGATGTGGTGTATTTTTGCGTTATTGCATTCAGCCCATCCGGTTGGTGCCCATTAGGATCACAGGATTAGTCGGTTATTCCGTTTCTTGATTGGTTACCTAGAAGCTGTGCCGCGGTGCGTGCGCACTCATTACAAGATCACCACAACTTTCCTTCCTCAAGAGTGCCTCATCAATTTGACTTGCCTTTTGTCGTGATCTCCTTAGCATTGCGCTGGTTGAGGCTTCCGATTCCGCCGGTTTTACTGCATCTTGTTCAACATCTTGACATTGGGGAACCGTAGCGTCAGATT